CCATGTTCTGGTTTCAGTGCTCGGATGTATTTGGATGGTTGGTTCAGAGGTTTAATCATTGAGTACCGATGAAACAAAATGTTGATCAGGCATGTATCAGTCATTTATTACATGGATGGGAATTACATTGAGTACTAATGAAACAAAATGTTGATCTGGGTAAGCTTTATTACAAACTGACACTTATCCACCCTGTTTATGAGCTAATCAGTGCAACTTGTTGGGTGCAACTGTGAGTCTTTCTGCTACTGTGTTCAATTGTTGCGACGAAACAAGCAGTGGAACTAGGATGCAAAATGGCAAGATTTATGCAACAATGCAAAATGCATTCGCAATCCCTGCATTAACACCGAACCAAACGCTCTCTTTGGACACGATTAATGTGAATAAACGTCATCATTCATACAATCAGTTGAATTTGACATTTTCTTATTCAAGTTATTTCGTTCATTTCAAGCATCAGAAAACATAAATCAGCAACTATTGTTCAACAAGGAGCTTGAATATTGTTCAAGTATTGTTCAACTATTGTTCAAGCATAAATCAGCAACTATTGTTCAAGAAAACATAAATCAGCAACTATTGTTCAACTATTGTTCAAGCATCAGAAAACATAAATAAGCTTCATAGATACATAAGCTTCATAAGAGTAGCATACAAATTACAAACCACAAGGAGCTCAAATATTGTTCAACAACTACTACAACATTTGCACCAGAAATACTTCTTCAAGAATCTTCTTGAAAACAACACACAACAAGTGAAATATTGCAAGAAACAATCATCTTCGTCATGCAGAATCTTGGGGGGGCATAAGAGTAACTCATCATTGGAAAGCACCCTGAATTTCACCTGTAAAATGTACAAAAGGGAAATGTAGATGAAATTCATATGAAAAAAGATATTGTGCATGATATAGGACAAATTCAAACTTGAAAAAAGATAAACATATAAGAAATTCACAAAAAAGCTACATATGAAAAACAAAGTAATTGTACCTTGGCAAGTTGACTTTACAGCTAGTTCTATAATGCCCGAGTTCACCACATCTGCTACATATACGCTTCTTCCTCTCTTTATTTTGTTGTGCTTGTTCTAAACCTGACTGAATTCTAGTAGCATTGCGTGGACGACCTTTAGTCCTTGCAGATTTTTCAGGATCACCTCTTCTGAATCAAATGCAAGCTCGAGCGCATTATTGAATTTTGCTCTTAAAGCCCAAGATTTCAACAAATTAATCTTCTCTTCACAGCTTGTGATGTTTCTTCCAAATACAATATTGCCAACCCCAATGTTACGATGTCTAGCATGTATAGTCCAACGGTGTAGGATGTAATGGTCGGGTAATGAAGAAATTTGACTAGCCATCATTAGAGACAATATATGTCTACATACAACACCATTAGTTTCAAACAAAGCACAAGTACAAATAAATTGTATCTTACTGGATTGGTCATAAGTAACCAGCTCCCCTTTTGATCTATCTGCAAACTTACAAATCTTGTATTCAACAATGTCCCCATCTTTTCTCAATTCTTCACAAAACTCTGTTGCAAATCCTTTGAATTCAGTTTGGAACACATCAAACATTGTGCGGGTATACATTTCTCCAGCTTGTACCTCAATCGGATGTCCAAGGAGCATGATAGGTTTTGTGTTAAGACTCTTAAAATCTTCATGGGCTTCACTTAAGCGACGATGAGTTAATGCTTTTTCATATTGTAGAACAAACTCGTGTAATTGAGTCTGTGAGTTAACATACCCATCAAAAAATGCATTTATACTTTCACTTCTTTGGCTCGATCTCATTCCAGCAAAAAAAGTATCTTTCAAATAACATGACACCCAATGTTCTCGATATTTGTAAACAGTTTGCAACCATCCATCCTCTTCTTCATTTATATCAAACTTCTCCTTCATCTCTAGCCAATATCCTTCACACTGTTCTATTAAAGAACTATTACACCATAAGCCCTAATACATTTGAAACTGTTCACCGTAACGAGAACCCAAAGTAGGCAAATGATCAGTAATATGCTTTTGCATGTGCCAAAAGCAATAACGATGTCTTGTCATTGGAAACACAGAGTGAATAGCATTGCATATGGCTCTATCCTGATCTGTTATAATAGCACCTGGTTCAACCCCATGCATGCATTTAAGCCATTCTTCAAATAACCACACAAATGTATCTTCTTGTTCATCAGCTAATAATGCACAACCAAGTAAAGTGGATTGCCTATGATGATTCACACCAGTAAATGGAGCAAATGGAAGACTGAACTTATTAGTTCTGTATGTCACATCAAACACAACAACATCACTAAATTGCAAATAAGACGCTCTTGATCTTCCGTCAGCCCAGAAAACACTCCTCATTTGTCCACTACTGTCCACTTCTATTGCAAAATAGAATTCTGGATCATTCGCTGTCATACTCTGAAAATGTTTTATGATAGATATGCATTCATGGCCAATATTGTTGACTCTTTGGTATCTGATGTGATCAATACACTGTTGTGGTGTCACTAATTCGCCTTCTCTTCCAGTGGTTGCGTTAATGACGCGAGAAATAGTGGATGGGGGGATACCTTCTTCTTGCAAACTCTCAATAAGTTTTTTACAACTTTGAGATTTATGGAATTGTTGGTGTGATATGTGCAACTTTGCTTTGACTGGACTACTCAACACATGATTTGTATGTTCTTCAACAAACCCCGTGACCTCCCACGATTTGTCCTCCAATACTTTAACTCTCATCATTGCCTTACATCCTACTCGGGTCTCTCGTCGAAAAGGCATCTCCATCTTATCTCTATTAGATCTATAGCCCTCCTTATCACAAATAAACTTTCTGTCCAGCACGTCTCTTGTCTTCTTCGAGTAATTCACCGTGCTCTTCCGTATTCCAAAATCCATCAATAATGCATAATGGTTATAATAGTTATAAGCTTCTTCATAAGTATTAAATTTCATTCCGAGTAGTGGCTTAGGAGCATTTTCTGTACTGGCAGAAATTTCAATTCCACTAGCACTTGATTCTCCCATTTCGAACACTTTTTTTGCTGTAAAAGAGATGCATGGATTCATCAAGAAAAATACATGAATTTACACAAAATTAATTAGTTTTATGGCTATAATGCATGCAAACGAACTGTTATCATGATTGACTCATGTAATTTTTAACTGTTATCATGATTGACTCGTGTAATTTTTCTATATAGTGTATTACAAACTTTTTGATGGCTTATTAATTTATACAAATACAACTTCTTATAAAAGTTTCTCTCTCAAAGTTATAAATCCTAGCACTTCCTACTCCGGCCATGTTGTTCTTTCTTCCCCTCTTCTCTTCTCTTACAAAAATAATTAAAGAGAATTCATAAGTCTAGAAACTTAAACCAATTAATCAAACTCCTTAATAGACACAACCAAACCCTACCAAAACCAAACGGCAGCCTAAATTAAGTTTGGATCCATTGAAAGTCTAGAAACTTCTCATGCATGAACTACAAAACCAAACGGCAGCCTAAATTAAGTTTGGATCCATTGAAAGTCTAGAAACTTCTCATGCATGAACTAAAAATTAACGGTCATTAATTAGCTCCAAGGTTCTACGCAAAACCCATTTTTTCTATAAACTGGGGCTCGGTTACGGAACCCTCGCCTTGACCCGAAATCCTTATCTAAACTAGAGACGTAAAGGCCCAATCTGCTCTTGATGAACGGAAAATTGGAGAGAAAATAGGAAATGACCTACATTGGCGGGGGAGGAGCTCGTGGAGGAGGGATTCGTGGATCTCGTGGAGCTGGACTGGATCGCGAGGGAAGAGCGCTGCTCGATCGCGAGGGAAGAGCGCTGCTCGTGGCGGTGCGCTGCTCGGAGCTGGGCAGTGCGCTGCTCGGAGCTGGGGTCACCCGCGACGGAGAGGGAGCGGAGAGGAATCGTGGCGGCTCTTTTAGTCTTCGAATGTCGGGGATCTGAGAGAGATCGACCTGAGAGAGATCGACGAAATGGTGGGATTTGGGGGGAGATTTGGGGCTCTTTTAGTGGACTTGAGGATCTGAGCTTGGGGGAGGAAGAGGAATTGGGGATCTGAGCTTTTGGTGAGATAGAGTTGGGGATTTTAATTTTTTGGGAGAGAGAGCAGCGCTTTTGTCGAGGAATCGTGAATTTTTTCAGAAAAGCCCAAGCAGCGCACGCTCAGGAGAGCTGGGCAGTGCTTCTGCAGTTTTCTCATATATATATATATATATATATATATATATATATATATATATATATAGAGAGAGAGAGAGAGAGAGAGAGGTTCTAATAAAAACCTCCTTAGCCTAAAAACTAAAAACCTCCTTCATCCATTGGATCTAGATGAATCCAATGGTTGGGATTCAGTCAAACAGTCAACAGACACATGCATTAATTACCTTAACGCAGTGAATCCAGATTCACTACCTCAACGTATCTCGAATCACTACAGTGAATCCAGATTCACTACAGTGGATCTGGATTCACTGCGTTGATGTAATTAATGCATGTGTTTAATAAGGTAATTAATGCATGTGTCTGTTGACTGTTTGACTGAATCCTAGCCATTGAATGAAGGAGGTTTTTAGTTTTTAGGCTAATGAGGTTTTTATTAGAACCTCTTCATATATATATATATGCAAAAACTTATGTCAACTTATGTGGATAGGAATAAATCATCCACCAACTTTTTTAACCTTTGATATTGCATTGGGATCTGTGATAGATATGGCTGCATTGGTGAAATATTTTTGTGATAATGAGGGGGAAAAAGTAAAAAAGGTTTTCAAATAAATAGCAGATGGTTCGTTTAAATAAGAAATCACCTAATTCAGATGACAGCAAAGGCCATGGGCTTTAAGACCATTGGGCTTTTGTTTTAAAACAAAATCATAAACCCATCTCGTAAAAAATTTCTATATTCGGTCATTTGCGTAAGAAACCCACCGAGTTCGATAAACACAAGAAACCCGACCCAAATGCTCCTGAACCCCAAATCGATTCTTCTGTCTCCCACTGTCTCTAGCGGGAAATCGAACAAAAAAAGCAAAAGGGGGTTTAGGGTTTTCCAATGGCTTCTAAACCCCAAATCGACGATGTAAGCCCTTTTTCCTCTCTCGATTCTTCTGTTCATTCGATTCGAAACCCTAACAAGTTCTACCTTTTGCATTAAATTTTGTTTTGATTGAAATTAGGAAGATGATTTCGGCGGCGATTACCCTGGGAGCGGCAGGAGATCAGGTTTATTTGCTTTAATTTCATTGTTTTCCTTCGTTTTTCTCGATTTTTTTACTACAGTTTTCAATGAATTAGTCTTCGTTTTTCAATGGATTAATTGTAGGTGATAAAAGAGCATTTGGGGATTTTGACGAGGAGGAAGATGATGTCTTCGGTTCTAATAAGAAGGTAACTCGAAATCCTAGCGAGTTTTGGTTTCAATCAGAGATGAATTAACTAGGGATTTAAACAATTTATCTTCTACCGTAAATATAATAAGTGTATTTACGTGAAAACAATCCTTTTAATGCATATTGCAGGGTAAAAAGGCTGAAGAAGCTGCTGGTGCTACAACCGGGATGATTTTGTCTCTTCGTGAAAGGTACCTGAGAGCTTAATGACTTACAGTTATATAAATAGCCATCATCTTTAATGCTAATTTTGTTTTCTTGTTTCAGTCTGCAAAACTGTAAGGATAATCTTGCAACATGCCAGGTTTGTGGTTGTTTTTCTCTTGGGTGTTGCTTTATTAATTCTTATTCTTGCCTTGCTTTTAGCATTATTATCCATTTTTTTGGAGAAAACTTTGCAGTTTCAAAGGAAACTCCGTCCCACTAACTTTTCATTTCAAAGCATATGGTTGTAATACATACAACTTGCACTCCCAACACCAAGCTACACCCGACAGCTATCAACTACATTGTAAATTCGATACAGTGCCAGAATCCCAAACACCATCAACAACAATAAGAAACACTTCATTACAAAAAGACATTTAACCTCAAAAGAAACTTCTCCTCATGCCTCCAAAGATCTTCCCATAGCTAGAAGTCTCCATCTCGATCTCCGTCCTGAGCAGCAATTGCCTTCTTCTGATTGTTCTTCTTCTTTCTTTCATAGGTCAAATCAAACTTGGGAGGAACATTACCTAGCCTGAACTCAACAAGTGGAGATTTTTTTAACAGCTCCAAAGAATGTATCTTTTTTGTTTAAAAATATGCATATACCTTTCATGCAGTGTTGTAAATAGCGGCCAATAGCGGGGCTATAGCGGGGCGAATAGCGGTCGCGGCCTTCAGCGCTACGCGTAGGGGTTTCGCGGCTGGGTTTCACGGGAAAAACCGATATGCACTCGAATAGCGCGTAAAAGCGCTTAAAAGCGGATAAAAGCACTTAAAAGCGGATAAAAGCTGCTAAACCCGCTATCAAATGCATATGATTTTTTCGCCCCGACTTTCGACCTGAACCCGAACCCGACTTGTTAAATGCGGATAAAAGCGGCCACGACGAATCCATCTCTCCCACTCCCGAGCCCTAATCCCTCTCTCCCACTCCCGAACCCTAATCCCTCTCTCCCACTCCTGTCATCTTCTCCGCTCCAAGCTTCGCAGCTCCGCTCGACCTCGCCGCGACTTCATCATCTCTGCAGCTCCGCTCTAGGCTCCAGCGAACAGCTCCGCTCCAGACTCCAGCGAATAGCTCCGCTCCAGGCTCCAGCGAACAGTTCCGCTCGAAGCTCCAGCCTCCCTCTGCCGATTGCAGAGCTTCAGTTACTGCCGCTCCAGCTCGAGCCAGGACAGCCGCTCCGACTTCCGACTTCCTTCTCCATCTCTGTTGGTTAGATCTGCAACAGAGAAAGAAGTATAAAATCTCCTCTAAACCTTCTCATAGTTTCCATGTCTTCCCTTTCAATGAAGTACAATTTCATCTTTTTTATCCTATTCACTATCTGATATTTTCATAAACTGATTTTTCCGTATTGTCAGTGGTTGATATCTTGTTGATCTTTGAACTTGCACTAATAAGCGTAACTAATAGGAGGCTTCTTTTATGGATATCTTTTATATGATTTTTCTTATTATTTAGAATATTTAAATATATTTATATTTGGCCGCTATTTGACTGTGCGCTATTTATCGCTATTTTGTCGCAATAGCCCGCAATAGCCTAAGCGGTACCTCGCAGCGACGCGCCGCGATCCGCTATCAACAACCTTGCTTTCATGCCAAACACACCAAATAATGCAGCTAACAATAACATCCCATTTCTTCTCTTTATCTTTAGACACACATGACTATTTCCAAGACCACATATCAGAGATCTCAGACATACATACAATAGGTAACTGCTATTTGAAAATAATAGAATTCCACACAAATCTAATAACTTGCACTTTAAGAAAAGATGGTTATGATCTTCATTTTCCATTTCACACACCTTGTGTTTGTCTAATAAAAGGAACATCACATGACCCATTATTAGAATCTCTCTTCATGATAGAGGACACACTTGCCTTGGATTCTCTGCGAAGGAATAGAGAATAGTCAAATTTAAAGCCAAAGACCCCACACCACACAATTATCCTCCCAAAAATAAGTTTTTCCTCCATTTCCAATGTGGACATTTGTGCATCTAATATAACAATCCATATTTAAATTATGTTTTCCATAAATTGGGTATAAAACCTCTTTTGATCTCAAGAATATTACTCCCCTCATAATAATTGTGCTTAGTAAAATGTTTCCACAAACAATCTTTATTACTAAACAAATTCCATATGCACTTAGTGACTAGAGCTGTATTCATAATTCTAAGATTTAATACCCTCAAACCTTCTTGTATTTTGGTCTACAAATCAAATCCCATGCAATCAAACTTGAGGCTCCTGAATAATGATTAATGACTATCTCCAGACCAAGAAAATCTTTTCTTCGCCTTATCCAGTCTATCACATAAACAAAAGAATTGACATTAAAAATAAAAGTGTAGATGAAAGAACTAAACTTATTAAAACTAATCTATCCCCTTTAGAAAGATATCTACTTTTCCACACAGTCAATCTTTTGTCTATTTTTTCGCAGAGGGAACGAACCAATCTACTTTCGTTAACCTGATAGGTCTCAGAGGAAACCCTAAATAAGTGACTGGGAAAGAACCACTTTGACAATTGAACATCATAGCCACTTCTTGTTGGCATACAAGATTATCCTCTAACAAAACCATAGAACTTCTATGGAAATTAATGGTTAGCCTTGAAACCATCTCAAAACCATATAAGATTAGCTTAAGAAATTTTTTTCGCAGTACACCAAAGTGTCATCTGTATATTGTAAACACACAATCTTCCTCTGATTTGACTCTGGACGTAGACCCTGAATTAAACTCATTTCTCTCTGCTAGCATCATAATTTTTGTAAACACATTTGCAGCTAAAACAAACAAAAGATGAGATAAATAATCCCCTTGTCTCACTCCTCTCTTGGAATGTATTCATTTTTCAGGATTACCATTTGAAAAGAATAGCAGATTTTCCCCCATTTAAACACATTCTCATCCACTGAATCCATTTATAACCGAGGCCCTTAGCATAGAACATCACAAATAAAGTCCCAACCAAGCATATCATATGCCTTTGCATAACCAAGTTTTAATAGCACCTCCTTTTCTTCTTGTTTATATAATTATCGTTTATAATTTCCTGTGTTATTGCTACACCTTCAATCAACAATCTTTTCTTTATGGATCCTGTTTGTATAGGATCAATCAGAACTTCCAATTTCTTATTCAATCTATTAGTAATAACTTTGGTAGTAATTTTGTAAACCACATTAAGGAGACTTATAAACCTAAAGTCTCCAGTTTCCCCTGCTTCAACATTTTAGGAATCAAAACAATATAAGCAAAGTTGAGCCTATCTGATTCTAACTTTCCCTTATAAAATTTATAAAAAAACACTCAATAAATCCCCATTAATCACATCCCAACATCCTTAGAAAAAAATTGGGGAAACCTGTCAAGGCCAGGGTATTTATCTCCTTCCTTATCAATAGCTTTTTAATTTCACATAGAGTAAAGGGGATCTCTAGCTCAGAAGCTTCCTACTCAACTTCAGGAGATAACATCAACCGTACATTTTTTTCAACTTTTAAACCAAATATCTTTTTATAGAATGAATCAAATTATTTCTCCTTATACCATTAGCCACACAATGAAAAACCTTAGTATTATGATCTTCTTTAAGCCGGTGAACTTTGGACATTTGTTTCCACTTAATCTCTTCTTGCTTAAAAATATGATCCATATGTTCACGTAATTCCTCCTCTAATACATCAATCTTTAAAATTTCTTTTAAATTTTGTTTTTTCATCTATTTAACACTAAAATTTTTTCACAGACCATTTTTAGCTTCTTAAAAATCTCAGCTTCCGTAAAAAATTCCCAGCAGCTGATAAGCACATAGGGACTATAGACCACCAATCCTTTTTTTTTTGCTTAATATTTTTATTTTGAAACCAAATTTTCTCAAATCTAAAAACTTTCTTGGGTTTAAAATTCTCTTTAACTTCAAGACACACATGGATATGATCTGAAATAGTACATGAACATCCTTGTTGACAACACCGATGAAATTTCTACTCCCATTCAAGATTGAATAACATTCTATCTAGTATTACTAAAGAGGGGTAATCTCTTTAACTTGTCACATAGATCTTCTACCCCTCAAAGGACATTCAAGATTGAATAACATTCTATCTAGTCTTGCTAAAGAGGGGTAATCTCTTTCACCTGTCATGTAAATCTTCTATCCCTCAAAGGAGTATCTATCATTTCAAGCTCATTAATAATATCATTAAACTCCTCAAGATCTTTAAAATGATTACTTTTTCCTTTCTTATCACACAGATTATTGTAGTATTAAAATCTCCATTGTAAATCCATTTTCTCATATTTAAACCCTTAAGCAACAATAAGCCCCTCTTCTTGGTAGAATTAGCAATTTTGTTAGGCGTTTATTAATTAATAATATCATGATCTAAGGTTTTGTTAGAGTCCTTTGAAACTGTAATTTCAATTTTAATGCTTAAACCAAAAGTACGAGAGCTAAGTTATATGAACTATGATAAACCAAACCTTATCTAAAAGAGGTCAGTTGAAGTAAAACATCTACCCATTTAATCAATCTGGCAACATAGTCTTCCTTGGCTATTTAGTTGAATCAATTAAATAAATGCTCTTGAATAAGTTTTCCACGTTACTTGAGTACTTCTAATCTAAAGTCATACCCGTACCAGTACCTAAACTTCTTGGACAGTCATTGCGCATACATCTATTTTTGACATGTACTCAATTATACAATAAATCTTCTAATTTAAAACGCTTGTCATACATTTTTGGACATATATCCTACACTTCACATCCACTTATTGAAACTCATTGGATATAGGTCAGGTTTTGGATTATGATATCGGAGGGCTGCGTGGATGTCTAGTTCAAAAGCTAGTGATTTTCCAATTTATAATCTGCATAATAAAAGAAACATGAAAATGTTAAAGGTTTTTTTATTCTCATCATTGTTCTCATGTAAATTATTAACTCCAATATCTATTATATGTCTGTATAAATATTTATATAGTCGTATCCCCGTACCCTACCTTTTACAAATTTATCATGTCCCGTACTAGTACCCATGCAACGTAGGTTGTTGTTAAGCGAGAATGGGTGTGATCAGATTTCTAGAAGAGAGCTGACCTAGGGAAATACCTATTTAATCCAAGAGTTGTGTATTATGCTTATAACCATCTTATTGCTATTAGTAGAATGCGCTATTTATGTTCTAGTTACAAATACAATAGTTATAAGCATGGCATATAAGTCTTTGATTAAAACAGGTCGTACCCTCGGTCAACTCTCCTCTCCATTCATCTGGAAGGAGGATGTAGCACATTCATTATGGCTATAAGCCTATAAATTTGAGCCTGCTCAAGTAGGTTAACAATAACCTATTCAAGTGGATTTATTTAATTTATTGAACTAAACAACCAAGGAAGACTGTTATGTAAGATTGATTATGGTTACGTGTTTCACTTCAATTGCCCTCTTTTACATAAGGTTCGCTTGTCATAGTCAATATGATTAAATCTTGAATTTGTGGTCTAAACATTAAATTTGCAGTTGAAGTTTCAAAAGACAAACACAAGTTACATAACATAAAAACATTGCATTATTGAGACATGCTAAGGGAATTGCTAATTTTGTTCATATCAAGAAGAGGAGATTATTGTTGCTTAGAAATGGAAACCCACAGAAGCGCTAGACCCTTTTACCAAGAGAAGCGTAAGCTTTAAAAAGCATGAGACATAAACCTCATGACCTAAGTATATTTTAATTTATAAATATTACAAAGATATAATATATAGTGGTATAATAACTTGCGTAGTAAATAAGACTTAAATATGCGAAATCTATGTACAAAAATCATAATAAGCTAAGCTACATACATAAAATATATATCTTATTCATAGTCACATGGTCATGTTGACGATACATAGGGGCATCTCAATGTTAATAATAATCTTTTATATCCTCTTATCTTGTCTAAAGTGTGTGCTTCAAAAGAGAACCACTGTGGAGCACGAAAAACACACACACGCTCACTCTCCTGTTATGCTTTTAAGCAATAAGGCTTATGCTTCAAAGGATAAATAGCTTCTCTTTTGATCTTTGAAGTGACTATCCTTCAAAAAGTTTTGAAATGAGTTTTGAAGCAAGTTTCACGAAGTTTTTTTTCAAACATTGTTTAGTACAATACTACAAGTTCAATTTTGTATTGCAATCCTTCTTCAACTCTTTCTGTGTGAAATCTGTTAAATATTATACCTGAAGTAAGGGAGAGCAAACGATCGCTTTGGTCAGTTTAGACCATTTTCGGGCAATCTAAAACCGAAATCCTAATCACTGATTGAACCGAACCAAATCGAACCGGATTATTTCGGTTCGGTTCGGTCGGTTATTTATGTTTCTATAAGATCCACCACCAATTAGTATTTGGCGAGAACGACTCCAGCTACTCAGTAAGGAGACGATCTTCTCATTGCAGTAAACACAAGAGGAAAAGATAGAATTGAGATTACGGAAAATAAAAGATAGAAAAAGAACCGGAGAGAGAAATAGTTGACTTTGAAATAGCAATGGGTTTACTTTGGGTATCCGATAGAAAGGATGAAGGGTAGCTCATTCTTCATTGAAGACTGCTTGCAACTTGGGAATAGGCGTAACTTTGGGGCTTTAAAAGGTGTAGTGGGTGGGCCTACAAAGTTGAGAAGAGGTGCGAAATTGGGGACTTGTGATGAATGCATTGTGGTGGGTCCCACAAAGAGTGAGAATAAGATGCCACTGTGTGACTTTCAAGATATAAAACTAAATCGGTCGGGTCGGTATTACACCGATTTACAAAAATAACCGCCGCACTGAACCGAAAGTACATAACAACTGCACCCAACCGTCAAAAATCGGGCGGTTCGGTCGGTTTCTTCGGTCCAAACCGTACTATGATCAGCCCTCCCCTGAAGGCTTCAATTTAGTCATTTGATTTATTCTATAAATTTCATCAATTGTATTCTTGTTTGCTATGTCCTCCATAATTTCTCTCAAAAAAAAAAAATTTTTGGTAAAAACTTTTAAGTATGCTGCAGGCAGAGTTAGAAGCTGCACAATCAGAGATTAAAAAGTGGCACTCTGCATTTCAGAATGGTCCTGCTGCTCCTGCCGGAACCACTCCTGGTTCGTCTTTCTTACTTATGAGGAGTTTTGGGTCTGTCCCTTTGATTTTTTTGTACGAACTGATAGATTTAGCCTGTTAAGTGTTTCATATGCTCATGAGCATGGATTTTTTTTAACTACATAGCACTCCCAAAACCTAACTGGCGTCTCTTCTCAGCCCCGTGATTCCTCTTCTGCTTTCTGATTGAGTTATTTTTCCTGCCTATTTAGAACCTGGATTAGTCGTGACCTATCTCCAGAATCTGAAATCTTCAGAGGACTCGTTGAAAGAGAAGGTTGGTTGCATCTTGCTCTCAACTTGGGCTATCTTTATGTATCTCATACCAGTTATTTTCTTTCAGCTTGAGAAGGCAAAGAAAAGGGAAGCTGCATTTATAGTTACTTATGCAAAACGTGAGCAGGAAATTGCAGACTTGAAGGTAACATATTTAGCTTAGACTTGTTTTGAATATCCTTTTTCTAAACTATAGAATATAATGGCAAAAAAGACATTTTCGCTATGAAAATAGTCATGCGACTAGCACATTTCACGTATAGATGGTAGGAGATCAAAATGTTAAACAATTGAATTTGGAAAGAAAAGTGTTGAAAGGAATTAAGGAAACTACTGAGATATTTCATCTATGTAAAGTTTGTAAAACTTGGAAGGGACAGATATTCCTTCCATCAGCTGTGTAAATGCATTTCAATGAATAGTAAAATGAATAGTAAACATCTAAAAGTAATTAGAGTGCTTATCTCTAACAGCATTTCTGCCAAATAGTCTCTTTGATGCTAAAATGAAGGTGCTATGACAAAATATTCATTTCTTCGAACTTGTAAATCTGCTACAAAGTTGTAGTTTGCTTATCATTGCCAATATATACTACATATGCTATTTGACTTGGCTGTTTAGCAGGATCTTTCTTATTGAGAATTCTGACTTAACTTATTAGACATCTCTGAGAAAGCTTTTTCTGTTGAAATTTCAGTCAGCAGTTCGAGATCTAAAGAAACAGTTACGACCGCCATCAGTTCAGGTACTGCTTGCTTGATTTTTAAGTGGATGTCTAGCAGCATCGTTACTTGCATATACTGTTTTATGTGATAACATGAGTAGCTAATAGACTGTTACTGCGATTTGCACAAAATCCTCGTCTAGCGACTTAACATCTATTATCTATCTTAACAGACCAGGAGGTTATTGCTTGATCCAGCAATACATGAAGAGTTCACAAGATTAAAGGTTCTTTTGATTTCTTCCTGAGAGGGGAATTTTGTTCTTTTTGTCTTCTCCCCCTTCCCTTTTTTATATGGTCTTGCTTGGTTTTTTCTTATACTTGTGAGAAGTTATCTCATGCTTTTGCTGAGAATATTTGTGATGTTAACTTAAGCAGAGCACTTTGTGTGTGTGTTTTGTATAGTTTTTCATGCTTAGAAATTGCTGACCTTTTTGGTTACGTTGCTAGAATTTGGTTGAAGAAAAAGAAAAGAAAGTGAAAGAACTTCAAGACAATGTTGCTGCTGTCAACTTTAGTGCGAATAGTAGGATGGGGAAAATGTTGATGGCCAAATGTCGAACCTTGCAAGAAGAAAATGAGGAGATTGGGGCAATGGCTTCTGAAGGAAAGGTATACACTTTTAAATTCGCTAAATTGCTAACTTATATTTTGCAAGTTTTATCTTGTTTCCCAAGAATCTAGTTTTTCGTTTGTCACATCCAATAGCATCCTGCATTCCTTCATTGCATTGTTTGAAGTTTGAATTGCATAGTCAACGAAGTTTTTCCGCCTACTATTTTAGCTTGAGTATTGTTGCAATCCCCTTGTGGGCCCTTATTTCCTTAAGGTTTGAGTATGTCGCTGGCTCGATGGGTTGATTATAGATTGCAACATTACTGAATTTGGTACTCCAGAGTCCACTCAGCTGCATGTCATATAATTGCATAAATCGTTTATTGTTGATTCAGTAACAATGTACCATGTTTCGCTTGTGATATACAATATAACTGCTACTTAATATGATAAGGGGGTGTTTGTTTGAAGTTTTTTTTGGGATATATGGTGGATTTGAAATTCTAGGATCAAAAAGGGGTTTTTTTGGGTTTTGGATTTCATAAACTGTGTTTGTTTCAAACAAAATTTTAGAATTTTGGATCCCTAAATTGCAAAAAACACTCAAATTTTAGAATTTATGAAATCCTAACATTGAGAGGATTTGTGATGTATATCTGACAAAAAAGTCCACCTCATCAAAACTCCTCCCGTGACCCCTAAAGCTTCTGGTAGACCCAAAAATATCATCACCGCCTCCATTTTCGTCTCCCTCCTCTTTTACCCGCCTCCTCCATTTCCCGCTACAAAACCCTAGTGCTTTTCGTCCCAAATCAACAAATTTTCAATCAAACCTTACCTGCCTCCTCCATTGCTTCAAGGTTGTTGGAATTTTACAGTAGCACCATTTTTGCATCTCTATCCTAGTTGCTAAAAGATGATGTGTGGAGGCTTATTGCTTTGCAAAAAAACTACTCATGAAGTTAGTGAAATTGAGCTATATTTATAGCCATTGGCAAAATATGATCGTTTATAGCCGTTGGAGTTTAAATTTGAATGAGTATGGTTACCCCAATTGCAATAAAATTTGTTTGTTCTTTAGTGGGAGGTAAGCTCACCAAAGGTTTTTATATTCACCTATCATTCTTTTGGAAATCCTAAATTTTTTTTCATTCAACTTATAGATTTCAAATTCTAAAATTTATAATGTTACAATTTGAGTTTAAACCAAACATAATATTACAATTTGTAGTATTTGTTATCCTACAATATTGATGAACCAAACACCATTTTAGAAATCCCAAGCCATATTAAAAACCCTATGGATTTCAAATTCCATATGGAGTTACAAATTCTATAATTTTGGCATTTGAACCAAACACCGCCTAAGTGGATGCTCTTGCTGGTCTTATTAGAACATTGTGCTGGCAGAACAGACATCTGACATTCCATGTATTCACGCCCACAAATTGATCTGTTCATGGTATCCACATATACCTATTGTACCTTACCTACCCATGGAACCAGACCGATACAGGCATATAAAGTCAACTGGAAAGGAACATACTAAACATAGGCAAGGCATTGAGACATAATAATCACATTCATTTCTTTGATCGGGATATGGAGAAATATCTGAGGAGCACATCAGATAAAGATCACATATTTAAGCTTGAATTTGACTTCATTGAATATATGTATTATTTTTTTCTTTTCCTTTTTGTTTCATAAAAAGTGGCGTGGTACTCATTGCAGTAACATGTATTATTGAAAACTTTTCTAATAAAGAGATAAATAGATAGAAAAATAAAGATATTAAAAAAAGCTCCTGCAAAGAAAGAAATTATGAAGTTCACAAGTTCGACAAATGAACAAAGCCAAAAAAAATCGCGTCAGTACATAGGGTCATGTATGAACCATCCAAAACACGTTTGGCTAGCCCTTAGTCAATTTCTAGGCTCAGAACAAGATTCATCTTCTGAAATTCTCTGAGATACCACCAGCTAGCTCGTATGCCCATTTGCCCATAAAGAAACCAGAGAGAAACATGATATAAAATTGATAGAATATCATATTCGGCCCTTTAAAGCATCTATTATTGTAACCCCTAATTCTAATGGACTGAAAGTTTGAATGCGTCTCTGTTTGTTTGACTGCCATTCTGTTTCACTATTATTGTGTTTCTTATATTCTTGCACTACATCTCACTTAAAGTATGTAATAAGGTAGATATTATGCGCCAAAGCATGACTATCTAAGTTTAGATGCCTTTCTCATGAGTCTCAATTATTATCTAACTCAAGGCAAATATATCTATAGATGCATGAAAACTTGGAAAACATGACTTTTCATCTAGTATATGGCCCACGTCGCACACTTTTTATCAAAATTCTAGGTCCATTTAATACATGTTTTTAATCAAATTTCTAGGCCCAAACTTCCCAACCGGACACAAAGTGGTTGCACAACTAATACCAGCCTTTTGTTGATGCATCATGGGTTGCATCTGTTTCGTTATTGGAAAAGTCCTTGAAGGCTCGGGAACCTATATTGTAGGATAATCCCTTCTACAGAGGCTTGCGTCTCTGATGGCAAGACACAAACAGGGCATGTGTCCATGCATGTCTGAAACTTAGACACATGTAAACTTTGTAGGTTATGTGCATGAAATATGGTATGGTCTTGAAAAAAATTGATTGCATTGTAAGTCATTTTTCTAATTCAATTAGCGCTAATAGTCCACTACATATTACTCGAGGTTTAAATACATATTTTCAAAAAACAGTCTTATTTACCTGCGTTCTCCATTCCTGATTTTTGGAGAATTGCTGCACCCAGCATCATGTCCCCCATGCCTGTATATCGTAGACTACCATTATTTATTTATTTTTTTCTTAACTTAAACATATTGAAGTGATCTAGATTGTGGTGAAAGGTCTTCTGATCATGAAGTGGTAGGACTAGGTCCCTTGCATCTTTTATGCGTGCTGATGATGTTCTCCTCAAGCACTTAAGTCCAAAATTGTAGCATTTGTGCACTGGTATATACACATTTGTGTACGCATGTTCAAAAGAACTACGTTAAGTGTACATGTGTGCAAACATTAATATATGCAATAATTAAAATGATTGGGAGCATAATTTACGTCATGAATATACATACAAGCATGCACTTGTCAAACACATGTACAATAATTTATGCCCTGCGTGTATAAATTTTTGGTACAAAGTTAATGACATGCATAGTAATAAATCACTTGATCTTCCGTAATACCTTCATCACCTTTACAAATAGTTGGTAAAAGTTAGAACTTACTAAATTTTTGATAGTTTTTTCCTTACAATTAACTATTGTGTTTAATAGAGGTCAGCTCCTCTCACGAATTAAATTATATCTTAGCATGCATGTTTCTAACACTTCTGGGTCTAATCTATGTGTTTTGAATTTGTAGATTCACGAGTTGGGAATGAAAATTGCTGTGCTAAAGTCACAAAATACAGAGCTCAGGAATCAGTTCGATGGTAAGTGACATGTCAGAGCTTCTTGCTGTTATGCTCAGTTACGGAAGCTCTTCTTACCCTTAAATTGGAGAGAAGAGAAAGTTCATGGTGTCTTTGATCCTTTTTCCTTCTTCTCATCAAGGTTGAAATGTATAAGTAACCAATTCATTACTGTTTTCCTTTTTCTGCTTTATTAATTACTTCTTTATTCCTCAATAATTAGATTTCTCCATTGCAATTTCCATTCGTATCCTTGTCACATGTGTTTCTATATGTTTTCAGCGAGTAATATCTAGTTTAGAACGACTAGCTTAAAAAATTGGTTTGCTGGCTGTAAATCTGCCCCTTTTTTTCGCTTTCCACATATTGGTTATTGGGTACAAATTTCAATTTTCGGCTAAATAGGCAGTACCAATAGTTATATGTGAGAATTTTGTGGAGGAGTTCGCTAGTTGTCTTAGTAGTTCTATTTCTGCAATTAACTATTCATTCTTTCTCTTTTGCAGCATTATATAAGCATATGGATGGTCTTACAAACGATGTTGAGAGATCCAATGAACTGGTAACTCCTTAAATCAAAATTTATGATTTATCAGTTTCGAACATATATCTGAACTAAGGAGTCGCGCATTTTTTTCATAGATGTAATACCCTTATGGAGCAAATTTATAAATGGCATTGACCGTTTAACTCGGAATATATTCCATTGCAGGTGTTTGTTTTGCAAGATAATCTAGAAGCAAAAGACTACGAGCTGGAAAAGCTGAGAGATGAGCTGAGAAGGGCCAAGGAAAAGCTCTCCCAGAAAGAAGCAATGCCCGAGAAAAAAGAAGAAGAGGAAGAAGCACCGGTGAAGGAAGAGGCTGGAGCGGATGTGGATGTTGCAGTGGAGAAAGAAGCAGCAGAGGAGAGAGTAAATGAAGAGGAAATCAACTGTACCGATGAGAGGAAAGATGATGAGATGGATGCTGCTGAAGTTGACATTGAAACTTGATGAACCTTGCACCTGCATGGCTTCTTTTATTTGAATGGAACCAATTTTTCTTCAATTTTGTTGCAGAGGACCATTCTTTCATGTGGTTTTCTTGTGCTAAAATATATACCGAACGATCATATTTGCAATTAGCTTACAGCGTCAGACTTTGCGTCCATCAGCATTTCAGTGGGTCATTACCAATACTATTTTGTTCAAGGTAATGCAAAACGCAGAGAACGTTTCCATTCACAAAAATGTCTGAACTGTTGATGATAATTAATTTTAACGCAATGCAAGTAACCGCTCCAATTTGGCTTCCCCTACTGACAAAAAAATATATCAATGAATGAACCATCATTTTTTGATGACATATCCGACGTCTAAGCGTTCAACGAAAAAGAAGGTTGTGCGAGGAGCATATAGTTATGTTAAGCAGGTTTATCAGCTGTGTCATATGGTGAGTTTCTCTCATCAGAAACCTCTAAAGATCTGTTAATTCCCTGCTCATTTCCAGAATCCTTTAGAAAACGAACAATCTCATCTTAAAACTGAACATGAGTACGTGACTAGCCCTGAAAACTACTACATATTGCGACGTTCCACATTAAGTCCCAGCTGTGTAAAAGCGTTTTATAGTTTATACAGCATTCCATCCTTTTCAATCCTAAAGCTCAATCACAATCAAATACAAATTTTCAGATAAACTCTTTGATGTACAAGAGAGATGCAATTGCTGGCCTCAAGATAATTGGTAATGGTTTATTTGAGGTTACTGACAAGAAGCACTTCATTTGCTAGTCGGTACATGTATCCCGTGACGCTTGAAGAATTCCCGAAACCCATATGAACTTTGATCATAATTAAACTGGAAGAAAAAAAGGAAACATATGATATATTAAAAATTCAATCATATATAATATAAACATAATAGCTTCATTTATGTGGACATTAACATCAGTGATCGGATCATTTTGCGTCAAGTTGACAACAGAAAATATTAACTCATAATCTAGTATCATATAATTCATCAATCACGAGGAATGCCAAGCTTTAAGTCAACATACACTTTACCTGCAATGGATATATAATATTCCATATCGTCACAAAATCAAAGAACAATTTTTTTTTCTTTCAAAGATACAAGGATAGCTACCATAATGTAGGAGACTTTTGCATCCAATCCCTCAATAGATGTTTTATGAAAATCTTAAAGCTCCCCGTCTAATAGTGGACAAAAAACATAGGGAACCTGATAAATTTAAAATATTTGGTTTGGTGGTGGTGGTGAGTGGGGGGGGGGGGGGTTGAATTAAAGGGCATGCCATTTGGGTTTAATAGAGGAGGAAAAAAATGGGTTCAGTGACAAAATCTTAATTCACAGGTCCTAATAAATGAAATGTTGCACTTACATTTAATATAGTTAAATCTAAATAACTACATAGAGAAGGGTCCAGTATGCATATCAAAAGGAAAGAAGGCTCACATTGACGTTAAATCAAATAGAAGTATGTGATTTTGGAAAATAAGCAGCAAAGCATTTGATAGGCCAAAAAGTTTTAGGTAACAAACTTACAGGCAACACTTTCACAGAGTACTTTGTAATGTTTGGATCTGCAACTTTTCCTTGGCTGGCTGCCTGATCAAAGAAGAAAAAGTGGGCTTTGTGAGCTATATATGGATATGCATCTATAAGAGCATTTTTATAAATTACATAGACGTATCGTAAGCTATGATTTGCAATAGTCCGCTCTTAGAAAAAGAAGAGTATGGACTCTTCAGGATGGGAAGTTAATTTCTCCATTTTTTTTGACAAGTTCAACTGGTCATATAGGTAAAATTTTCTGTTTTCTTGAAGCAAAGATGAGAGGTTGTAGTTCCCCAGTGGACTACTACCCCATGGAAAGCGAGCTGGAAGGAAAGTGTTTTAATGGTCACATCAAACTTACGAAGTAAACTAGTTATTTTTATAATTTTTAAGAGAGAAATCATGAACATGCTCTACCGTCAAAGTATGCTTGCATAAAGATTAATACTAGGAAGGTTGACATCCAGGGAAGTCCTGGTTTGTAGCCAACAACTTATGTTAAAGAACAATAGAAGTGCAGGATGACATGCGACAATCATAAAAGCAGGATCCAATATGAAGAATGAGGGCAATTCTGCAAATGGATATCATTAACTACAAGATAGATCATTAGATCTCAATATTAATAGATTAGGATTTTTGAGTTCAAAACTCAGGTTATCTCCCATGTTGCTCTCTTTATCATCCAGATGCCTAGACTTATTATTCAACTACATTTAGGGTTGTGCTTGAGAATGGTTCTCATATCTTTATTTAGGATCTACAGGATTTTCAGTACTGATCATAGAATGGTATTAATGCTAGACTTGGGAATTGTCCATCTGTTTAATTGCTTATGTTGTCTCCTAAGCAATCATCTTGGCTTGTGAGACAGTTTTCCTCCCAAATCAAAACACACCTCCCTCCAGGCAGATTTTCATTATATGTTCTTTGGATTTTATTTATTTATTTATTATTATTTTTTTTTTTTTTGATGCAGACCTTCAGTATAAAGAACCGAGAGCCTAAATTTATGTCCGTTTTGCTTTACAGACATATATAATATCTGCATTTTACCTTTTGTCCTCATCTTGTTTAATCGCAGAAAACTTTATAAAAATCCAAGCACTTACGGTTGCAAGATATCATCAATTACCAAAGGATAAGATGAAGCCAAGACAAACATTAATAGATCATGGCAAGACTGTTACACCAACATCAGAACTTAGCAAGATAGACACATTTGTCTTTGTATGTGGGGATATTTGGCCTGCACTCTGAACTTGCTGACGTCAGACAGGATGCGATTTATTTTTTTCTTTGTTTGCGTTTTAGGAGGAGGGAATGTTGTCGCTGGTTAACAATATGAAGCCAATAGCATGACCTCCAACGAAAAAATTTCTGGAATTGTGATAAGATGAAGCCAAGACAAACATTAATGGATCATGGCAAGACTGTTACACCAACATCAGAACTTAGCAAGATAGACACATTTGTCTTTGTATGTGGGGATATTTGGCCTGCACTCTGAACTTGCTGACGTCAGACAGGATGCGATTTATTTTTTCTTTGTTTGGGTTTTAGGAGGAGGGAATGTTGTCGCTGGTTAACAATATGAAGCCAATAGCATGACCTCCAACAAAAAAATTTCTGGAATTGTGATATTTATCCTACTCTACTTATACCCAAAAAAAAGAGACGAGGTAAAGCATCCACCTACTTGTTCTGGACTATGAAATATCTCAATGAACGGATACTCTTTCCTTTGCCTTGTTATGCAAAATCCTGGATACTTGGGACACTCGACCTGAAATCAGCATGAAGCAGTACAAAAAGAAATTAGACGTTCTCCCAGGTATCATTGACTACGCTTCCATGAAATTCAGAAGGCAAACAAGTGGGCAAAGTTTAATCAGCAGAGTGTACAATCCTTGCGATGATAAAATATTAAAATAAATAGGTTAGATACTCAGGAATAGCACAAAAATTTCTATATACCTCAGATGAAGTGAAATAAGAGTTATTTTCTATTTTTCAATTGTATGCAAATCTCAGTTTGCCCTTTGAATATGCAAATAACAATATTATTTTCAGTCTTCTGCTATGCATTCCACCACAAACACATTTAAGTAAAATGGTGGTTTTCTGGCATATAGGCAGCAGTAGTTGTTTTTTGCGAAAGAATAACAAACAAAATGTTGGCTTCCAGGAAATTTTTGCATACTTTTCTTTTTCCTGGATCAGTGATCCATTACTGCTTGTAGGCATTTAGGTAGTTGCTCCAGATATATCATCATTTATTCGTAGAGCCATTGACAGAACAATTTAAACAATTGGAACATAGAAATGCATCTGGGCTCAATTTAAAGAGCTAAGGATTATCGGATAATAGTTTGGTGAAAATATCACTGTGACCCTCAATACTTAATGTTCTTCATCCATAACATTCAAGTCTATTATAAACCATCAGGTTGAGTCTTTCTTACTCATTAGCAAGATCAGAAACGGGGCGGGAAGAGTGATGCCTTAACATGGATTCTAATCTACAGGGCATCTGTTTACCATCCACCGTGTCAAGAAGGTAGTACCTCAGCCTCCAGTACCCTGAAAGATACTCTTTCTTGTAACTAAGAAGGTGGATTTTCACTACAATTGAACCATAAGGCTTCCAACAAACAACTAAAACACCTAACAACTAATCAGAATAGATCTAATAATTTAAAGTGCAAAATTACTTTGGAAAAATAATTTCTCCAAGATACAAGCTGATGAAGATAATCAAGTGCATTATGCAGTAGCTAATAGACAGTAGACATACCCGCATGAATTTTATATGTGGATAAAACTCTGCAGCAGCCTCTTCCAACACTTTATCAAGATGTTTTGTATAAGAGCACCTACAATCACGGAATATAACCTTATTGATTAAAAAATTCACAGAGCTAATACACATCCTACATTTGCGCATTTCCAAATATTCAAAGCTTCATATACCAGCCCATAACATACAAAGAAAAGGGATATTCCTACATGGGGAACATTTTCCGGCTACAACTGACTCAAGTATGAGGGTCCATCAATTTTCTACCGAACTTAGTGCTAGGAGTCTAACTTATCGTGCAAATTGATAATTGACAGAACTTACAATAGAAAGTAGATGCACACCTTATAGTAAATGCAACAACCATAGGGCGACCTTCGTGCAGCTGCTGAACAAACTGACGCTCAGAGGTAAAATGAATAACTCTCGAAGGTCCTAAGTCTTTTGGATATCCAGTGTAGTACCTAGCATTTACCAATATACATTTAGTTGCATCCAAACGAAGAAAAGACAAAATTAACCAATATGTAAACACTATACAGAAACCCATGTAATTTCAACACTCTGTCACCCTTTTTTTTGGGTCCATCGAGATTTGTAATTTCCTAGTTCCTAGTTTTTATAAGAGGAGACGAATTGGAATTTTTAATATAAGAAACAAGCAAGGGGTGACATATAAAGCATAAAAGATGGTATATTTTTTTTCGGGGAGATATCAAGGTGCTCACTTGCTTGTTGATCGAAGGTGAGAGATCATTCGATCAAGAAATGAGGGCTCCTCCATTGATGGTTGCCCTGCAGCATTCAAGTGGAAAATGAGCTTGAGATTCCAAAAAAATCACAAAAAATCCCAAAAAATTATCGAGGAATTAACAAAAATTTACAATCGAAAATGGATGTGACCTAGGGTTTACGAGCTAGGGCTGGAAACAGAGGAGGAAGAAGGAAGCGTAGACAACGAGAGTGAGGTTCAGGGGTTTAAACGGGTTTGGGTTATTTCTTGTATTGGATATTATCTATATTATCCACTTGTCGATCCATTTGATGGGTTTGAATAGCGGAGGCCCAAACAGATGTAGCCCCATATATCAAGCTAACTTTGCCTATTCACTCTTTTCTTAGATAGTGGGCCTCTGAAGGCCCATTTACATGCGCTCCTAATTAAGAATGTAATAGTCTGATAGTAGGCTAAATATCAGAAACCCCTAACTTTTTCTTTTTACTCTTTTTTCTTTTTTTGGATTTGACGAGCGAATTTCCCCGTGATTCTTTGGACCATGAGTATTAAACCCCCAGGCATGAGTAAGGGGATTTTCCATACACACAGCATCAGTTATTCTAGGCAATTAAATTCTTGTGGGTGCTCTCGAGGAGAATCTATCCTAAGATCTTGGAGTACTATTCATGTACAGCTTACCAACTCAGCTAGACTCTCCTGGGTGACGCCACTTCCCCCCACAAAAAAAACTTTGGATGATTACCAAATGTTAAGGGTTATCAGTAAACCCTCCCTTTTTAAGTTTAAGATTTTATAAGAAAACCCATGAAACAGTGTTATCACAATTTTTATTGGCAAAAATGTCCACATGCATAATTTATTCACTCATGCAGAAATTTCACTCTTTTCATAGATTATTTGAGTGACCTTTCAAAAACCCTTTAAGTTTTCCGCTCATGTTACTATTGGGCTATCAATGAAGCAATAACAAACAATATAAATATTAGCATGTGTTTTTTAGGAATTTTCTTGAAAATGTTGAGTTCTCATGATGATGGTGAGGACTTGAATTCGGACTTTCCTTCAGATATAGGGCTCCTCTAACCAAGATTCCTCCATTGTAAAATAATAATAATAATAATAATTAATAATTTAAAAAAACTAGCATGTGCTATTAGCTATCTTTCCAAAATAGTATATTAAGTCGAAGTATGACCTTACAACACTTATTCCTTGATTTATGCTGATTTTATCCTCTATTTGAATATACATACTTCAAATAAAGTTCAATCTCGTGTTTTATTCTATCTTATAAAGTTTCTTTGGACGTCTTTTATTCTATTTTCCTCTCTCTCTCTCTCTCTCTCTCTCTCTCTCTCTCTCTCTCTCTCTCTCTCTCTCTCTCTCTCTTATAAATGTGCATAGTAAAATTTGGTCTTTTATCTTACTAAATGCACATTCATTTTCAACTTCTTCTCATATGATCAGGACTAGAAAGCTCAGTTTAAAGATTTACACTAAAAAATTACGCATTCATTCTCTTCAATTTAGCAGATCACATGCTAAGCCAAATCCTAGAATTACACAATCAAAGCTTAACCCAAAAACTCATTCACATTTGGATAGAAAAGTTAGCGAGTAGAGCATACCTTCTTAGTTCAAGGATCGAATTTGTCCAAACACATGTTACTGCAAGTGTGTTCACCTATAATTCAATAGAATTTTGAGAATTAGCATCAAATTTATTCAATTTGAAATATTTTTTAATATATTGAAACTTAAAGTCGACCCTTTCTTTTGAGTAAATATCCGTTATAAGACTATAATGGATTTATTTATTTTTTACTTTCACTGTATCAATTGTGATCTCGATTCAGATAAGAGGGTCAATAATCTACGTGCAACGCACGTACAATATACCCTTTCAATAATCTACGTGCAACTATGCATTGGGATTTCAAAATTAAGCTTCTAGATCCCTTTTCAAGCTTTCAACATATAAAGGCTAATTTCTTGGCATATTAAAGTATTAAAGTATGTTTCTTGACTGAAAGCTTCATTTACATTATTCCTTCACCATCTTCACTTGTTACGGATTATAAGAACCAAGGTTTTAAATATCGGTTATCGGGGATTTATCGGACGGTCAAAATCCTTATCGGATAGCAGAAATCGGGGATAAGTAATATTTATCGGAGTGATATATTGGATGATGTGTATATATAATATAACAATTAAAAAATATAATCTAATCATGCTTAATGAAATATAAACATACCAAAATGTAAATCATCATGTTTAAAATCACTAACAAATTGTAGAAAGCGAAACTTGCATCATAGCCTTGAAAAAATATAATGTTAGTCAAAATGGGCTGATAATCCCGATAATCCAGATAAAAAAGTCTTACTTATCGGCCGATAAGTGCCGATAACGCCGATAAATCGCCGATAAACCCACAAAAACGATAACCGATTAAAAATCTAATTTATCCTAGCGGAGAGCTCCCAAATCCGATAACTCGGCCGATAACTCGGCCGATAATATCGATTATCGGCCGATATTTAAAACAGTGATAAGAACATGACATATCTTCATTAGTTACATGGTTGATAATGATCTTTTAATTTATCTTCCGTTTTAGTCATTCCATTCACGAGTATGAATCAGAGACCATAAAACTGTTTAAATAATGCATCAATGACTACTGATATGTCTCACGCTAAATTTAGTATCTTTGTCAACCCTCAAGCAACTTGTAGCAATACCAGTATATGGTAACTTCGGGTCATAGCAAAATTAGAAAGGGAAGAAATGCGATATAGAGCTGCAAGAAGGCGTTCTTTAAAGTTAAAACTATGTGATCCTGAGCTCGAATGCAGCTTTTAGAAATTCTACGGAAAAAAAACAATTTTATGTGAGCTACTGTTTTTGAGACTTCGAATCAGAAGGTGGATTAATTTCCCTATTGGACTCAAGTTTGCATTATGAAGTTTTAGGTGTGATAATTAACAAGAAGTCAACGAGATATGACAGCTATGCTCTTGTACAATCTCTAGCTATGATTCAATTAATTAATGCTTTTAACATTTTCAACCACTACAAGCTTCTGGATCCCCTTTCAAGCTTTCAATGTAGAAAGGCTAATTTCTTGGTTAAAATCAGCAAAAAGGGGATGCAATCTTTAACTAGCTAATCGAAGGAGAGAAACCTTGAAAGAGGATTCTGCAACAGATCCAAGGCGAGTGGAGAGGAAGAAGAAAGCATGTGAGAAGATACCTTGATCGGAGTCGGAGGTGGCGACTACTAGGGAGGCGGCGGTGGCGACTCGGAGGCGGCGACGATCAGCTTGCGTGGATAAAAGAGCTCATGGGAGCTCAAAATTTTGAGAAAACAGTTTACTTTTGGGCTTTTTGATGGGTCAGCCCAAAAAACATCACATTGACCAAACGTGTTTTATTTTTTATTTTTTTAAAACGGAAACGTAAAAAACGTTCCAGTTGACAAACACTCCCGAATTAAAAATGTGAAGTGTTTTTTTTACTTGGAAAAAGTGTATAAAAAATTTATAGGTTTTTTAGATATTAGTTCCTTAAATCTTCAAAATTGCATATTAGTCACTCAAATCTTATGGAGTCCTATTATATATATATATATATATATGTGTGTGTGTGTGTGTGTGTGTGTGTGTGTGTGTCAAATATAACAGTTAGAGGCGAAGTGACTGTTTTACCTCTCTATAATGTTTTGTAGCCCATTTTTTAATAGGTTTAGACCCAATACCCGCTTAAAATAAATTCAAACTCACTCGAGTTCTTCTTTTCCAATGGTTAGCAATAAATCCTAACTCAAAGCTGAGCTTCACAAATGTTTGAAACATCGAAAAGAGTAGTAGTTTGGTAGTTACAGATTTTACGTCAGGAGTTAATCCAATCATGATCAAGTTTTTTAACAAAAATATTAATTGAGGGGCTATTATCAAGACCCTATAGGATTTTAGGGACCAATGTGCAATTTCTAAGATTTGAGGGACTACTATGCACTTATTGAAGATACTAAGGGACTAATATGCAGTTTCTAAGATTTGATGGACTAATATACAATTGTTGAAGACTTGAGGGACTAATATCTAAAAACCACTACTTTTATTAGCCTTATAAAATGTCGTTTGACAATGTTTAAACAAGGATCAATGAGAATTAAGTCCTCCTTAGCTTAAGGGACGCAATCAGAATTAATTTTATCATGAAGAGGCATAAAATAAAACAATCAAAAATAAGTATAGCATGTACGTTTTCATAGAAACTAGGCTACCATGTGTTTATTTAAACATCTATATAAACTCCGAATTAGCTTAAAAGGATTCAATGAATAAATTAGAGTGAAATGCTAAATTAAATTATCTATTTTAGTTAAATCTAAAAATTTATACCATATGCATTGCATGTGCAATTCACCTAGTGAGAAATAAAAATAAAATAAAAATGACTCAAAAGACATGGGAAAATGAGGAGGTACGTAATAAGTGAGAGATTGTGAGTAATTTGTAATGATTAAAGATATTGAAAGAGTTAATTAATGGTTGTGCTTAATGGGTAGAGGTTTAATGAGTGATTTATGAGAGGTTTTGAATAAGAAGCGCATATTAATAAGTAGGCTGTAATTGCAATATGAAGCACAAGATTTACATAAGGGTAAGAATTATTATAGAATAATACATCACAATAACACAATAGTTGAAAGATAGACCGCAAAATACATTTGGGAACAACAAAATTGTAAAGGTTACATTGGCAGCCCTAAATGTTAATAAATCTAGTGTCATTTTTTACATTTATACTCCAAAATTTAATTTTTGACAACATGAGCTCATTTTTTTTACTTTTATATTCCAAAAAATTTCTATACTTTTTTGACAATATTAATTTTTGACAACATGAGCTCATTTTCTACAATAGTTTTAACATTTATTAATATTAAATTAAAACGTGTACAATTTCTTCAACATGACCTCCAAATGGAGTAACCTTCATTTTTCAAAAAAGATGCTCCTTGATTTCGACAATATTATTAGGTACCCCCAACTTTGAACATTATTTTAGAAAGCTTAAAGTATCAACATTATTTTTAGAAAATCACAATAATGCAATAAATCGGGTATATAAAAAAATACAGACATTTGTCTGGTTTTTTTTTAGATTTTATGATATTTTTAGACTTCAAGGAGTTATCTCATAATAGACTAAAATATAGACAGATAATTGAGAAATATAATCAGAAATTAAGAAACTGATCGCTTTAAATATTATTATTTACAAAATTGATGATTCATTAAAAGATATCACACTTTTTTCTCTTGTAGTGTAAGAATAGCTATGAAAAGAATAATATATAGTTAGCATTATTCAATGTTCCTAACAATTGCATGTTATAAATAGAGGGCTGTCTATGGAATTTCATTCCAAAATTTTATGATATTCATAGGGTAGAGTAGTAATACTCTGATCTAGAAACAAGATATTCCATGTAAGATATGGTCTCTTTTAACCTGACGTGCTTGTTTGTTTGTATGGCTGAAATATTTTTTTACGTGTAACACATTACAAAAAATCATGTGAATCAAAAAGGAATCCAAGGAGTCAAAGGACTGAAAAGGATGAGAGAAAATATACATGATCAACGTGGGCGTCCCCCACTCCATTTGTATCCGCACGATTCCTATGGACTAGGAGAGCTTAGATACTTCTCTTGGCAAAGGATAGCCTACCTATCTATTTGTCATGATAATAACACTTACTACCTTTCAAAAATTTTAAAACGGCTAATAAAGGTATCTATAGCTACATAAATTATTTTATTTTGAAACATACGGATATGATTTGAGACGATAAAGAAGACATAGTGAAGACACGGGGGATGCTTAGTGTCAAGAGAATTGCAACTACATAGAACAAATGGTCTATAATCATTTAAGCAAATAGTACAAAGGGACACAAATTGAACTAATACAGATCTATCCGCAACTAACCTTTAGTAGTATTTAATTAGGGTGTCCGAGCATGACGGCCAGAAACTCCGGGTTCGGTCAGGTTAAGCCCTGCTTAGACCTAGGCTCGGACCAGCCTGGTGTATGCACGGTCGTACCTAGGTATTTTGGGGCCCAAGGTAAAATATTAGATGAGACCTAAGTGATACAACTCATAATATATTTTATCTCATTCTTCTTACCTTTTGAGCTGCAAAATTACTAATTAAAGCTTTATATTCAATATTTTCTAATATATTATTTTCGATAGATAATATTGCTAAACCATTCAACCTATATCTTAAATAAGATTTTAGTAATTTTAATTTTAAAAACTTCTTTTAGCGGAAACAACTGTTACGGCCTTACGTGTATAGTCAATAATACACGATAAGCAATACAAGTATTTGGAAAAGAATCTAACCGTTTTATATAGTTCAACACTTCAAGTGGACTATTAATCTCTACTTTTAAAATTTCCTTAAGCACTCTCAATTCTGAAAACAAATCAAGTCCATTAATATCTAAATGTTCATCATGTTTTAGTGTATTTTCAAGATTAAGACAATATTCTTTCAATTTAATATCATCTAAAGCTTTTAATTTTTTCAAATCAAACAAAAAACCAAAATTTCGAGATTAAGATGATGTATGTAACTATGTATCTTTACAAATTAGCTAGTTGCAACTTTTAAATGGAGCAGTTATTCCTGCGTAGAAACCATCTAGTGTAAGGCTCAGAACTGCCCACTAGCCGATACCCAGTCTTCAATATTTATAGAGAAATTTCCTTCTAAATCCTAACAATTAATCTTAACTTCAAATCAGGGATGTTGAACAGAACAGTTAATAACACACATAGCATTTCATATTAAAAGCCCAAACACACTCGATCACAATCACTTTTGTCAACTATTGCCCACTTTCTGCTTAAATTAAATATCAGAACACCCAAAACACCAAATATAGTTAAACGAACATCAAATTCTTATGCAATGGAGAATGTGCAAGTGAAAATAGCATGTTGACCTATCAACTGATACTCAGATCACCTGCCGGTCAAATGTCAAGAGGGAAGATTTTGCCAGGGATTAGCCACCCAGAGATCCCATGACTAATAAATAGATTTGATTGTTAAAAATCAAATCTATGCCCACAAATACCTGTAAAATTGATGATATCAGTAACTCATTTCGAGGTTCACGGTCAACAAGGTGCTTTTCACGAATATGTTCGAAAGAAACCATGAAATTGATTTGATTCTTAAAAAGAAAATGGATTAAAAGATGACCTTTGGACCAAAATCAGCGGAGGCGGCTCACGGCTGGAGGTGGCCGGTGGGACCATGGGAGCGGAGGTGGCTCAGGCTGGTGGTGGTAGCGGAGGTCAGGAGGCGTGGCGATGGGAGGCTGGACCGGAGGTCTTGATGTTTGAGAGAGGAGAGGAGATCGGAGGGAGAGGGAGAGGAGGGGGACGCGGTGGAGGGAGGAGTAGGAGGGGGTTTCCAGAAATGAAAACAAATTTGGGGATGATTTATTCGTTTTAGGGGGGAAAGTAGGGCATTCGCGGGTTTAATTGGGTGAAATTTTTTTAAAAAATTGATCTATGTATTCTAGACGAAAATTTCCGTCTAGGATACTATTATAGACGGAAATTTCCGTCTAGAATACCTGGTTATTTTTAAAAAAAATAAAAAATAAAGTAACCGTCTAGAATACTATTCTAGACGGAATTTTCCGTCTAGAATATTTTATTCTAGACGGAATATTCTAGACGGAAAATTTCCGTTAATAATAATAATAATAATAATAATAATAATAATAATAATAATAATAATAATAATAATAATAATAATAATAATAATAATAATAATAATAATAATAATAATAATAATAATAATAATAATAATAATAATAATAATAATAATAATAATAATAATAATAATAATAATAATAATAATAATAATAATAATAATAATAATAATAATAATAATAATAATAATAATAATAATAATAATAATAATAATAATAATAATAATAATAATAATAATAATAATAATAATAATAATAATAATAATAATAATAATAATAATAATAATAATAATAATAATAATAATAATAATAATAATAATAATAATAATAATAATAATAATAATAATAATAATAATAATAATAATAATAATAATAATAATAATAATAATAATAATAATAATAATAATAATAATAATAATAATAATAATAATAATAATAATAATAATAATAATAATAATAATAATAATAATAATAATAATAATAATAATAATAATAATAATAATAATAATAATAATAATAATAATAATAATAATAATAATAATAATAATAATAATAATAATAATAATAATAATAATAATAATAATAATAATAATAATAATAATAATAATAATAATAATAATAATAATAATAATAATAATAATAATAATAATAATAATAATAATAATAATAATAATAATAATAATAATAATAATAATAATAATAATAATAATAATAATAATAATAATAATAATAATAATAATAATAATAATAATAATAATAATAATAATAATAATAATAATAATAATAATAATAATAATAATAATAATAATAATAATAATAATAATAATAATAATAATAATAATAATAATAATAATAATAATAATAATAATAATAATAATAATAATAATAATAATAATAATAATAATAATAATAATAATAATAATAATAATAATAATAATAATAATAATAATAATAATAATAATAATAATAATAATAATAATAATAATAATAATAATAATAATAATAATAATAATAATAATAATAATAATAATAATAATAATAATAATAATAATAATAATAATAATAATAATAATAATAATAATAATAATAATAATAATAATAATAATAATAATAATAATAATAATAATAATAATAATAATAATAATAATAATAATAATAATAATAATAATAATAATAATAATAATAATAATAATAATAATAATAATAATAATAATAATAATAATAATAATAATAATAATAATAATAATAATAATAATAATAATAATAATAATAATAATAATAATAATAATAATAATAATAATAATAATAATAATAATAATAATAATAATAATAATAATAATAATAATAATAATAATAATAATAATAATAATAATAATAATAATAATAATAATAATAATAATAATAATAATAATAATAATAATAATAATAATAATAATAATAATAATAATAATAATAATAATAATAATAATAATAATAATAATAATAATAATAGTAATAATAATAATAATGAAAAAGAAATACTAGCATGTGCTATTAGCTATCTTTTTTAAATAGTATATTAAGTCGATATGACCTTACAACACTTATTCCTTGATTTATGCTGATTTTATCCTCTCAAGGTACGTACTTGAAATAAAGTTCAATCTCATGATATCTTATAGAGTTGCTTTGGACCTCTTAAGCGTTTGATTGTCAAACTCGTTGCCTTCAACTCTTAAGATCCAAATTGAAGGAAATATCATGAGACAAGAGGGAGTACGTCACATTTAGTGAACCTGTAAATTTTACCATTACTCTTATCATTTCAACTAATAACCAAAACACGATGCCAAACAACATGACAAAAGCATATACAAAGTACAAAAAAATAATAATAATAAAATAAAAAAAAATCTAAGGATAGAGATTAACATTATCTTAATTACCAATAACACCGACATATTTAAGAGTAAGTTAAATTAGAAATCAAAGTCCAAACTCCCCAACATCCGGATCACTTGGATCGCTTGCACAAACATTCAACGCTGATTTATCCACAAAAAATTATAAAAAGGTTTCGTGCACCGACAAAGTTTACGTGTTGGCAATTTGAGTACAAGATATAAGCAAATTACTATCAAAATAAAGCATAAATTAAGACGAAAATTGTTAATGTAATGACACTTGTAATGATATGGATGCACAAAGTCAAGTAGGCGTATGTGACATAATTAATCACTTATTAGTTGCTTTTAGGATTGCCTGAGATTAGTCCATGAACCTCAATGAGCTAACAATATATAACCTCGTGTGAAGCGAGCACGGGTCCAAATCGCATGGGTTACTATCCAATCCACTTATAATTAATTAAAAATGCAAAGTGTTTGTTTTGACTTGGAAAAAGTGTATGAAAAGTTTATGGGTTAGATATTAGTTCCTTACATCTTCAATAATTGCATATTAGTCCCTCATAGTTTGAAATTGCATATTAGTCACTTAAAATCTTAAATAATTGCATATTGCTCCATTAAATCTTAGAAATTACATATTAGTCCCTAAAATCCTATAGGGTCCTATAAAATGGTCCTTCAAGTTAAATCATGTCAGAGTTGAGAGTAATATTCCGTCAAATTTAACAGTTGGAGGCAAAGTGACCATTTTATCTTCTCTATAATGTTCCATAACCCATTTTTAATAGGTTTAAATCCAATACCCGCTTAAATAAACCCAAACTCACTTGAGTTCTTCTTCTCCAATTGTTAACAAAAAATCCTAACTCAAAGTTAAGCTTCGCAAATGTTTAAAACGTTGGAAAGAGGGGGTAGTTTGGTGATTACGTACGGATTTTAGATTAGGAGGTAACCCAATTATGATTAACTTTTTTAACTGAAATATTAATTGGGGGACTGTTATTCAAGACCCTATAGGATTTTAGGAACTAATATGCAATTATTAAAGATTAAGGGACTAATATGCAATTTCAAAGATTTGATGGACTAATATACAATTGTTGAAGACTTAAGGGACTAATATCTAAAAAACTACTACTTTATTAGCCTAATAAAATATCGTTAGGCACAACTCCTCCTTAGCTTAAGGGACGCACTCAGAATTAATTTTGTCATGAAGAGGCACAAAATAAAATAATTGAAAATAAATATAACACGTATATTTTCATAATAAATTGGAAAAGTAAACTTTCCATAAAACATTAATATATTCTCAAAAATAAAAAGGAAATAATATGCAATTTACTTGTGTAATTAAAGATGTTGTTTATATATTTATCAACAAAGGTTTCCAAGCGACCCTTCTTTTCTCAGCACTAACTTGTCAACAAAGATCTTCAGATTTATTTTTCTTCAGCTCTAAAATTTCATAGTGGTGAATTGTAGTAAATAGCTGCTGTAAAAAAGCAAATCACCCCTTGGCATGAATAAGCAAACAACGAGGAGCTTGTTTCACAACCTACGTATTCTAATTTAAAAGTAGGTTTTTATTTATATGGGTCCAAACTTATGTTTGGTAAAGTTTACTTATTTACTTATTTTTAACCTAAAAGTAGGAGAAAAAGATAAGTTGGGATTTTCTAACTTATTCTTTTTGCACTTATAAGGAGATCTACTTATTGATATCAAAAGGCTATTTTGCTCTTTAACGGAATAAGTAAAAATTAATAGTAGTAAGTACTTACAAGATTTCCAAAAATAATTAGTATTAGTCAAGTATGTTCTAATATAATTGTTTGTCTCTTTACTAATTTAAACTTTGATATGCATCTTTTCCAAAGGGCAAAGGTCACCATCGAGCTTAATAGATATGATGTATGTATTTATATTTGGAGGCAGGCTTTTGATATTTCATATATATTGTTCTATTAACTTTATTTGTATTGGCTGTTATGTAAATGGAGAGAACATTTTTTTTAATAGGAATAGTTGAACGACGGAGAATTGTAATCAAGTTCAAGAAAATAGTTACAATATCTTTATGAATTGCGATTAATTCATATTTTACAATCAACAAGATAAATCATTACCTTTAATTAGTCAATCAACGGCTCCAGAAAAAAGTAGTGGAGAGGATCTAGATTTTTTTAATAGTAGAAAGGACTCAATTCTAATCGTTACACCCACGATTGGATCCTCTATAGAGAGCATCCAAATCCATTACAAGTTTACAACCCACCACACGTGATGTTTTACATGCAGTGGACACGCTTTAATCTATATTCTATATCTAAAATCTCTTCCCCTTGAAAACGCCACATGACATCTCTTCCCCTTGAAAAAGCCACATGACAAGCCTCTTCCGTCACGTGTCAATCTCTTCCCCTTTCTTCAACAACCTTCCATCTTCTGCTTCAATTTCCTATGACCTACATTCATTTTGGCTTCTCAAGTTTAAATTTCTCATTTAATATATTCCTCCTCATCCCAAATTCAAATCTCTCATCTTTTATTACTTTCTGGACCTTTCCCCTCCTTCCACCTTATTATTATTATTATAGACTTTTCCTCTTTCTCTCCTCCTTTATTTGGGATTCAGATTGGAATTTGTTGAAGATGATGAAGAAAGGGGAGCAGGGTTTTG